ACATGATACATACCTGTGATCATGCTCTCTTAAAAAAACAAAAGAATAAACCTGCACATGGAAAGTCATCACACACATGCAGTAAAGACAGAGGACACTATAAAATAGTTTCCAAATCTTCTACAATTACATTGTGATCTAATTGTAATTTCTATCAGAGGTACAGGAAGACAGTAATTATTCAGTTTTTATCCTCTTGGGAGTTTCTAGTGTACTGATTGATTACATTTGTTTTGTGTTCGTAGTTTCTAGATATTTTCAAACAGAAAACGGATATTCTCTTATGCAATGTGACACCAGGTGCAGAAATAAATACTATCCTTCCTTGTTGCACACTACACATGTAGGTATGAACGTAATAGTCAACTCAAGTGATGGCCATCGCCATGCTCTCAAGGATAAAAAAAATTATGGCAGCTTTTGCAGTTTACTGACATACAAGGAGTAAATTAAAGTGATGAGTTTTATTTTATAGTTTAATGCTCTTTTCTAAATAACAGCTTATTTTTAAATTTTGATTTGATTTTGCTGATTATCATCAGTTTTTATGTCATTTCCACTAGATTTTTTTTTATTTAACTTTCCTTTGTTACAAGTCTTCTACCCTATCATTCAGATCATTCTTTCCTCAATGGTCTGTGAAGAATAATTAGTAATTGTTCATTGTCATCATATATGAATAAACTTGGCATCAAAATATAATTAATAAACCAAATCTTAATATTATATAAGTTTTAAGTTCTTAGTTTTATAAAGAAATATTTGAAAAACTCCTCAATCTCCCCTAGTATGAGAATTATGACATTTGTTCCCTACGTCTTTCCTCTTCTCTAATTTATTTTCCACCCCTTCAAGAAGTATGGAATTTAAAATAAATTACTCATTATAACATAGATATTACTCAGGCAAAACATAAATCTTAAAACCTCTAATCTTATCTGTCTACAGAGCCATAAACTAAAATCTCAGTCCAAGTTGCCATGCCCACCTGTCACATTCCATCTTTCACAAATTGGATGTAGCATGTGTGTGTGTGTGTGTGTGTGTATATGTATATATATACACACACACATAAATGTACACACATATGTATAAGACCAAAATAATAACTATGTGGCGCCATCTATTGAGTAGCACCACAAAAGAAATACATAAAAAATTTCACACTTTGGGTATTCAAGGTCCAGACAGAAAAATATCTAAAGTATGTGCAACAACCATTTCTTTATTATAGAACACAATTTTAAATAAAAGTACTCTCCTCACAACAAGAACATGAGTTTCACTAGGACTGTATGTGAGGGTTTGAATACATTTTTATTGATGTAATTTGTAAACATACTCCTAAAAATGGAGTTCTTAAAACAACTGTTATTTTTTCAATAAAGGGTACCTCTTTTAATATATAAGAATATTACAATTATGAGTACAATCCAGACACTTTTTCCGTGCAGTACTTCCCAGAAAAACCTTTTTTTAGAAAATGTTCACTTTTTCTAAATTATTTTCAATGAGGTATGAATACTAGGATTAGTAATTACTAGCACAAACAGCCACCCATAGTACAGCATTTCTGCTAGTATTTATAACCAATACAAAGCTAAAGTTTCAATCTATCAAATGATGTATTATATTACATTGTCTATTTCGCCTCCATTTCAAAACTTTATTCTCAGAGGAATCACATGAATGATGTTAGCTGAATTTTAAAGGCTCTTATAGCAAAGTTAGAAAACCAAAAATATTATGATAGTTATATGACTTTGTTTGCTTTGTACATATTACTATTCTCTGTTTTCTCAAGTGCATTATTTAATTCAATAAAAATTATTCAGTGTAATAGTACCATTAGCATAAAAAGTAGGCTTAAATTTCCTCGACAGTCAACAGCAAAAAACAAGACCCAGGTATGTAATATGTTTCTTGTTTTTCATGTGTATCCATTAATTATTATTATAAAAGTAACTAAGATGTAAAAATTAGAAACTTATTAAGTTAAATAAGGTTAGATCAGGTAAGATAGTTAAAAATAATGATAAATTTTTATGAGGATGTTTGTAAACAGCTCTTATATTATGTAATTTGATGTAGTAACATGAGCTACACATTTGCTGTGTGAGGGATTATTAGTTAGACATGGTTCAAAGGACAAAAAAACAATAAACTTTAAGTAGAAACAAATATATATTATTAAGAGCTTTAAGCTATTTAGGACAAACAATTGTAGTTTCCTGTTACAATGTGCAGTCATTCTGGAAAGAAAAAAGGGTAATTTAGATTTATTTCATATTTTTTTTATGGTGGTTACTAGGTTGGTCAAAATAATGAATGCATATAAAGTTAGGGTAGAGAAAATATAAAGTTTTACTGAAAAAAAGATAAAAAAAAACGTTTGATATTTATTTAGGAGTTTTAAAGGTTAAGCAAATGAAATTTGACACTTTTCGGGTGAAGAAAAGTAACTTTAATCTTAACATAAAAACCACTTTGCACTTAGAGCAGTCAACTCTTTAACTCCATATATTCACAAAGAAGTTTTTAGTAATAATACTTAACCCTCTTATTACGAGCATCTTTCTCTACACACCATGAGCTTTTTCTAGGTTACATTCAAAATTTATCTCAACTACTTTCTTTTTATAGTACATAAGTTTTAAGTTCTTAATTTTATAAGGCAATATAAAAAAATCATGAATTTCCCCCCTTGTGTGAGAATTGTGACATTTTCTCTCTAGGCATCACCTCTTCTCTAATATATTTACCACCCCACCAAGAAGTATGAAATTTAGCATAAATTACTCATTATAATGTCATCATTGCTCGGGCAAAGCACAATTTTCATAGCCTTCAATTTTATTTGGTTACCTAGCCAGCAAGTAGAAAATCAGACCTCTCTTACCAAGCCCAACTGTGACATCCTCTTTTTCAGAAATTGACAATAGTTCTCTCTGACATTCAATACTACACTATTTATAGCCAATAGAAAGTCAAGGTTTTCATCTATCAAATGATGTATTATATTACATTGTTTGCTGTACATAGAAGTGTCAATTTCAATTTAAGCTTTATTCCCACAGGAAACAAATTGACTAGCTTAGATGAATTTTTAACAGCTCTTGTCACAAAGCCAGAAGAATTGTGATAGTTATAGGACATTCTCTACTTTTTGCATGTTATTATTGTGTTTTTTTTCATTATTTAATTAGATAAAAAATATGCAATGCAGTACTACAGTTAGTACAAAAAAGTAAGGTTAAGTGTCATAGACAGTCAACAGCAGAAAAAAAAAAGGCCCAGGTAAGCACTTGTTTTTCACGTGTATTCTTTATTTATTGTTATAAAGTAACTAAAATGTAAAAATAGAAAATGTTTTAGGTTAGATTAGGTAAAATAAATAATAATAATAATAAAACATTTTCACAAGGTACGCTTGCAAGCAGCTCATGCTTAATGTAATTTGATAGCATAACATAAGCTACATGTTCCCCAAATAATTTACAACTTATTATAGCAAGAATAGTAGTTAGACAAGGTTCAAAGGGCAATAAAACAATAAAATTTAAGCATAAATACATGTAGACTGTTAAAGCTATTTAGGATAAACAAATATAGTTTCACTGAAAAAAAGTTTGAAATTTATTTAGAAGGTTGTAGAGATTACACAAATGAAATTTGAGATTTTTAGGTGAAGAAAAGTATTTTAAATTGGAACGTGGAAATCACTTTGTACTCAGAATAGTAAAAAAAAAAAGACTGTATATATATATATTTATGGACAAATCTTTAGTAAAAGTACTTCATTAAAAAATCTGATTTTTTGTGTACAAAAGATTTGTAAGGTGTACTAAAAGTCTGCAAAATTTTGTGAAGATACACATACTGTATTAAATATTATAGTATGGAAACTATAATGAGTACAAAATGGTTACAAGGTTAGTTGAATTGACCGACTTAAAAATCTAATTTGCTCTGCACAAAAGACTTGTAATGTTTACCGAAAGCTTGCAAAATTTCATAAAGATGCATCAAATATATTAAAAGTTATAGTATGGAAACTATGAAGGTCATGAACTCGGTCGAATCGACCTGAGCCAATAGAGTTCGAGAATTTATTGTTTAGATGTAAAACTTTTTAATGTGTCTTAGATTGTGATAAATATAAAACAAGAATTAACTGCTTAGTACGTAATATTTTAGCTACTCCAGATATTGTTAGGATTGACCCTTAATGTCAAACTTATTTTACTACATTAAATGTTTCTGTAAAAATGTTTATCTTCATGTTAAGCTTCCTTGGTTTTTATTTTATCAACATTATGGACATATAATAATATAAATTAAGGGTACACATCGCAAATATAAATAAAGACTAATCAGCTATACAACATTTTGCAACAAATAAGTAGATATTGTTAATTCTTATCTATTGAGATAGTTTGCTATGATCAGATGTTAATATTAAATACAAGCTCTTTTTTATTTTAAATTTTTTATTATTATTAAATTACTTTATATTCAGTGTTTTCCTTTTTTGGGTCAATGGTGTTTCATGACACACAAATATCACACAAGTAATTAAACTTAACATTGCTATGAAACTCATAAACACACAAAAAAATGAACATGGAAGTACCTACTACATGTGTGATAATTCTCCAAAATGAACTTATATCAACCAACTTTCCAGATAATATTTATGAATGTAAACAAAAAATACTAATGAGTAAAGAAATGTCTTATTTATGTTGCAGTATAACTTTTATAAAGTAAAAACACTATGCAATACTAAATGTTTCAAAAACAATGATGATCTGACAATAATGTTTAAAAATTATATACAAACACATATAATGAAGTAATTCTAATACTTTACACACATAATCTGGACATAATTATTGTATTAATTTCCATATTTTCCTTTGTAAGGTTTAAAACAAAAAATTCAAAATTCAAAAATATGGAAATGTCACACACATACATAATTAAAATAATTTACTCACCTCACCTCCAGACAATCCATACTGCAAAGATAAGTAGAATCGAGCTAAGTAAATAGGTAAGATTTCTTCGCCTGTTCGTTTGGAACAGAACAATCTACACAAAGTTCCAACAGCTTCTGCTTGGCCAGCTTCAAAATTATCAACAGTCAGATTAGATGGTATTTCTACTGCATCAGGAACAGATTGTGGCATTGGCTGGCGGCCATCCAACACAACTGAGCTTGGTCTCTTTGTTCCTCCCTCTAGACCTAGAAATTAGTTTATTTTTGTAAAAGTACAAAAAACCTACTCAAATTTATAAACATTGTACTTTTTTTGGATATTAAGGTAAAGGAATCAGACATTACATTTATTATACAGATCTCATATGCAAAAAAGGAATGTACATTGAAAATGAAATTCATTTAATGTTAGTGGTTCCTTTTGTAAGTATTCAATTTTAAATTTTCTTGAGAACAAATCAGAAATAATTAAGTTATATTTCGTACCATGAACAAAAATGTCATAAATATAAATAAAGCTACAGGTAAACAGAATGCTTTCTGATTTGCTAACAACAGCTGAATGAGAAACAGTTATTTATGGCACACTTTCTACACTATTTGAGTAATTTGTAGCTGAGTACACAGTGGCAATTACACGAAAGGTAACTATTATACTGAAAAATATTTGGCAAAATTCCATATGGGTAATAAAATACAATGATTTTTGGAAAATGCTATTGCAAGATCATTGGGAGTCATCATTCAGAAATGCCACATATATGTTAACAGCATGCTAACATCTTGTTAAACTTAAGAGATGTCAACATTGTATTGGTACTTTCCTTGTATTTTTGCTTGCTATATTACCACAGATAATTCCAAATATTATTTTTCTGTAATAATAAATAATTTTGTGGCCAGCAAACACATTTTATTAATGTGTTACAGTTAAAAAGTTCCAATTTTATCACACTTAGAATAACTGGATCATTTATTGGCTAATAATTGGACTGCTGGTTTGCAGTTTATTCATACTTATAGATTAATTCAGACTAGTTACAACATTTCATAATACTTGTATTACTCCAACATTAATACTTGTGTAAGCACATTTAATAATGTAAAATGTATGATGTGCAATAAATTTTGATAACCATATAACGTGTAGTGAAACACTCGTATATCAAAGTTTAGATGATGCAGAAATAATAAATTTAAAAAAATACTAAACAATTTAAATCAATACTTTGACAATAACAGTGCATAAAGCTATTAATAGTCACTCTGAAGCACGTTTGCAGTCATGAACAGTAAGAAATCAAGATCAATATATGTTAGTAATTTCACAGTTTTATCTACACACTTTAATAGACACTATACTACCATGGATAAATATATTACAGTGCACCGTGATATGCCTTCCAAGAAATTACTTAACAAATAACATTATCAGCCACATGTTTAAAGTAGTTTATTAATTTCGAATAAAAATGGATCAAACCAGTCTTATATCATAACAAACTGTAGAATACACAAACTCTCAAGGCTTGGATTTTTTGTTTTGTTTTTAATTTACTACAGGTCAAATTCAGAAAAGAAATGCTGATAAAATTCCTAAGCCTTGGCTTTTTCATAAAGAGAAATTTTATGAATATGAAATATTTATTTACCTCAAGAACACCCTTTTCATACACATCTCATGATTGAACTATTCAACAATCAGAATTATGTTGATCTTAATACAATAAAATAATATATTTGATGTAAAATTTCATAATATGCACAGCAGAGAATACCTGACATTTTAGTAATAGCTTTTAGCAATAAGAAACTTGTAATTAAATATTGGTAGTTGTTCTTGGTTTTTAAGCAGATCTAAAGTTTTGTTTACCAGAAGCAATGATCACCAGCCCTTTGAAGTGGGTGTACAGGTCAATGATGGATTTTCTTAGGCAAGAAGACTTAGAAAAACCATTAGCATCATTGTTTATAAATATGTCTTAGAAAGACTAAGAGGAATACAATAAGCGATGTCTTATCTTTGTAGATGATGTATTGGTGTTTGACTGCTCATTTCAGTCTGTTGCTAAAAACTCTGGGCATAGTTCTTAAGCAGATAAGAAGGCTTGTTATGTCAGAAATGGAAAGATACCACTGAACAGAAACAACTACTGAACTTTGTACTTCAGCAATCTTTACATTCAGAAGCACTCCATTATCTCCACAACCTTCCAATGGCTGGACAATTAACTATTACGAACACAATGGAGAGAGCAAAAGAACATTTCTATTGTGTTGGGTGCCAGGGATCTGTACAGGATTGGTGTAAATGATGTGAACTATGCTATGAGCAAAAAAAGGGTCCAAGAAAAATACAGCTGCAACAGTATTGTGATGGAGCACCACTTGAAATAGTTGCTATCAATATGCTTGGTTCTCAGCCAAAGAGTAACAATGCAAATACATATAGGGTGTCTAAAAAGTCTGGAACCATAGGCACTTTAATGAATTTTATAAAATGTGTTCAATATACTGTCCTTGTAATTTGAAACAAGTTTCGATTAACAGCTAGATTATCTCAACCTTCTCATTGTTATAATCAGTCACATATAAGAAATTAAGAAAAGCTGCACAGCACCTATGGTTTCAAACTTTCAGGACACCCTGTACATCATGGTTACGATTGACTATTCCACCAAGTGACCAGAAGATAGAACTACCCGTGAATTCACTCAACCAAATACTAAGAGAGAACTCACCCAATGACAAGACAATATGGGTCAGAGGTCATCCCATTTGCATACCATAGCCCTCAGAAAAGAAACACTAAAAAGTTTAGACACAATAAAATAAGATATATATTCTGTTTTGTTCATTGTAAATAATGACCTTACTGCTAATTATGGAATGTTCTGCTTAGTGCACCAATTTATTTGTGACTTGTTTTGGGATTGTTCAAGGGACTTCACAGTCCAAGAACATGACAGCCTCGTGAACCATATTTTAAAATTCTAATTTATACGTTTATTTGATAGAGGTTTGTTTGTTTTTTGTTGTTGTTTTTAATTTCGTGCAAATCTACACAAGAGCTATCTGCACTAGCTGTCTCTAATTTAGCAGTGTAAGACAAGAGGGAAGGCAGCTAGTCATCACCACTTACCGCCAACTCTTGTGCTACTCTTTTAACAACGAATAGTGGGATTGATCATCACATTATAATGCCCCCACGGCTGAAAGGGCGGGCATGTTTGGTGTGACGGGGTTTGGAACCCCCGACCCTCAGATTGCGAGTCGAACGCCCTAGCCACCTGGCCATGCCGGGCCTTATTTGCTAGAGGAAGTTTATCATGATGTCATTATCAAGCAACATGTCAGTTGGTGATTTAGACCATGAGAGTTAGTGTGTCTGTTCCTCAGTGATGGAATTAGTTATGTCAGTTACCATTTGTTGTTGATCAATTAAAAAGAAAATTCTCCAAGTAAGTGTATAAGTTAGGAATATATTAATTTCAAAGTTTCTATTGAAATGTTGTTTGTGAAGTTATGCCTACCAGTGAGTATAGTCTATATCAAATGTTACTGAAGAAATTAATTTGTTATCATTAACCAAACATAGATTCTACTTATTTTTATCAGATAATTCAAAAGAACACTCCCAACAATAAAACATGCTACAACAATATAAACAATCATACAAGCAGTTTCACAATTTCAATAATGATCAACCAAGTATATAGTATTTATGCCTTAAGCATTAAAGGTCTAATTATGTTTTATATCAAGTTATACTAAAGCCAATTTTTCTTAAGCTTTTGACTTCCTATTTTTAAAACTTATACCACACCAAATGTTCAAGAAAGAAGCAAGCTGTGGAAAGAATGAAATGTATTAAATATTTTGAGAAGAAATGTTAGAAGACTAAAAAAAATTTTTAAACTGTTTTGTGAAACAAACAACAGCAGGAACAAAATGAAGAAAGGTTTTAAGTCCTGAATCCAAAACTTTTAAACTATTAATGAAGAAAATAATCACATCAGCTAGTGTGAAGTTTATAGCCTTATTCCCATGATAAAATGATCGTGACTATTAAAAAATAGTTTTATGACCAACATTCATACTTTTATAAAAAATCAGCATCAAAACTATTCTATATGACTGGCAGTATGTTTGTAAGTATTTAATATTTAAATGTTTTACATTTCTAGGAACAAAAACCTCTAACGAAGATCTGTGTGCTACAAAATACATTACAGTATCATTCTATTTTGTCAGAAAGTTTAAATTACATGCTTTAGATATTCAAGTTAAAAAAAGAAGTCTGTGTCAGTAAAATATCTGTAGTTTCAATCAATACATAATAAAAACTATGTAAAACCTATTGGTTATTTTTGATGCAAGAAACTGTTAGTTCACTACATGGTTAAAATATGTATTTACTCCTCATTTTTCAGAAACATCTACCTTACTTAGTCAAATGTTGGCAGTTTGGCACAGTCTACATGAATCTTGTAAAAAACGTTTATTCTCATCACTGTTGCACACAGGTGGTGGAGTGTGAATACTGTTTAAATTAATCTATAAATATCTTTATTAGCATGTGATTTTCTCTCCAATGAACCTTTTATTTGACTGTGATCACCAAAATAATGCAATATTCATGATGTGTAATTCAAAATATCAAATTTAGAAAAGTAAAGATCACATACTGTCAAAACTTCTACTTCTGACACCTAATTCTGAGCCAATCAAAGATGCTTCAAAAAGCCATGCTCCAAACAGATGTAATACAGAGTTACACTTTGGTCGAGAAGGTGATAGCTGAAGATGGAGAGAAGACAATGTTGGACCACTAGGGGTATTTACTGGTGATAGATATTGGTTCTGTGGTTGCAACTGTTGATTATGGTGTCCTCCTCCAGCCTTTGATGAAAGCCCTGCCATTAGTCCTGACTTCTGTGCTCCTAAGAATATAAATACTCATGTATGAAACAAAGAACACTATTATTTTTAAACTGTTTTACTCATCAACACAATTTTTAATATACCTGAAAAGCCCAACTATTACACAGACATACTAATCCAATCAGTCAATCTATGAATATAAACTACACATACATGTATCACAGATTAGGTTTTGTTCATGAAAAAGAATCATTAATGTTACCATGTTACTTTAGAATTAAAATAATAGCAGAATTTGTTTTCAGTTTGCATTATCAATATAGATAAAATATAAAATTAAAAACAAAGAGTTTAGCAAAATTTGTATTTGTGTTATAATCCAATTTCTATGAATTAAATATATTAAATTTTGCAATCTATAAGTTCTCTCACATCTAATATACAATTAGCAACAATAAGAATTATAAGCAATCAACTAAAGTATCTATTAAATATCTCATTTATTAGTGGTTCTTTAATAAGTTAAAATTGAATCAAGATACAATACACCAAGTGAACAAAGAACTATCTTACTTACAAAAAACATTGTACCTCACTGTTTCCAATTTGTAAGATGTTTTAAAACAGGAGAGCTTTTTTTATTAAGGATAAATTATCTTTTATTAACAAACAAAGGCTGAAATTGACATTACAAAGAATAGTGAATTATAAGTGATTCTGAATCACTAAACTGGGTGCACTTAAAAGGATGTTACCTAACTTACTAAAGTGATAGTACTAAGCTCATGGATGCAAACACAAAAAATGTTTAGTTTTCTGATATATCTTTAATGCAAACAACTAAGAAAAACAACAAAAGCTTACCAGGTACACTTTTTCCAAAGTAACAAGAGTTTCCAAATGAAAGAACAAGCTACTTAATGGTACTTATCCATACATTTAAATAATATAACACTAGAGAATACCACAAATAAATGATACGTCATCTCCAATGTCTACATGTAAACAATCCTTTACTAAAGGGCTATACAAAGTTTGTGCTTTAGAATACAGCTTCATCAAGTGAAGTTCAGTTCTGTAATGGAAATAATGTACTATTAAATAATAAAACTCACTTACTCACAATACGTGTCGATTGTGTATAACCAAGCATTCCAACAGGAACTATAAACTGCTATATCCCATATTGTGTTCTTGGAGCAAGGGGAATGCCACCTCACTGAATACACGTGCGTTTTTGTGCTTGAGAGTTTCGTATTACAGTGTCTTATAACACAGGTGGTGAATTGTTGCTTTTTTGTCAGCGGGTTTGTAATTTGTCGGTGACAGTAAAATAAACACAGAAAATATATGGGATATGTTTAGCAATTGAAACTGTCAGGGGAAGAACTTTGATACCTCATGATCAATAATGAAGAAAAGAAAACAGCTGCTCATTATATTTCTGATTTTACAGTTTTTCTTTTCAATGAGTTTTCTACAGGCTCAAGAATCAAATAATAAATGTAATAACAGGTAAAATATAACGTTTTACTGAAAAAAAAAGGTATATATGTATTAAGGAGGTTTCAGAGGTTGTGCAAATGAAATTCGAGATTTTTGAAACAAAGAAAAGTATTTTAAATCTTAAAATTAAAATAACTTTGCACTGAGACTAGTTAAAAAAAAGAATCGATATTTTCACGGACAAATATAAGTAAAAATACTTCATTAAAAAATCTGATTTTTTGTGTGAAAAAGGCTTCTAACGTTTACTATAAGTAAAGATACACGTAAAATATTAAAAGTTATAGCATGAAAACTATAACAAGCACAAAATGGTTATGAGGTTGTTCCCTCATATGAGCCCATGTCGAAAGAGTTAATATGAGTGGGAATAATTTTCCAATCAAAGCAGCAACACTTTTGACATTTTCTCCATGACATTGAAGTAGAAAAAAAAATCTTTTGAAGTGTTTTATAACATCCTTTTTGTTGAATAAAAGGTTATTGTATAGTTATCAAACTCCAATCAAGGCTTGCCCCCCCCCCCCCCCCCACACAACAAACATCCATTTCATCCCTTCATTTTTTCAAACATTCTCACTCATAGATCCAGGACTTTGGCTTAATTGCAGAGGACAAAGATCTAGAGATTTAAAGAATGTTAAAGAAACATTCCCATGACAAGATATAATTCTATTGAAAAATGTATCATCTGAAGCATTAAAACATAAAAAACAACTAGGTGACTGAAAAACATTCAGCTAAAAACCAAGAAAACACAATATAGTTATTAAGCTAAAATGTAAAGAGCCTAAAAACTTTCAAAATATTGTTCTCTTACAATCAAGTACTTTAATGAATAAGAATTAATGCAGAAATTTTGGCCATTCAAATACAGTTCGACCAATTTATTTTTAAATATTTTTTAAAACATTGGTTTTTAAGTGAGACCCTTTCTTATGCTTGATTGGAAAATGTTGTAGTACACTAAAATGAGTTAGCTGAATGAAGAAGTCACTTTTTTTTCTTTTTTAATTTGTTGAATTACTAAATATTCCTAATTTTTTGGATCAAACAACAATGCTTTTAGATATTAAATGTTTGGTACTTTTGAAAGTGTTCACTCCATATACCAGTTTTCAATTCCAAGTTCTTATAAATTTTGAGAAATTTTCTCAGAATTATAC